CAGGGAAGTACTGCCACGTTACCTATTTTTGCCGCCAAGCAGAGTATGTTTTAATAGTATTACTGCGTTTCGGTAAATAAAAATGCTGGTGACATTACAGAAGTTGAAGATTGAAGTAAAAAAAAAATGTAATGTATGTGAACAATATAGTTTGAAAGACGACGTTGTAAATAGATTGAAATAGAGAAATTAGTAGCTCTACTAGCTCCTTGTGAAAGAGTTCGTCCAGGGAAGTACTACCATCTTACCTTTTGTGCTTAATGTGAGCTTTTTGAAAGTACAGGCAGATGGGACTTATCAACTTATGACTCGAGATGACGGGCGCACTGGCAGTGCCCCTCAGATCGTTGCGATTTGAAGCTCTAAGCGGCACTGTATTAGTTATTGACGGCCATTTCACAAAAAAATGTTTCTCAACCATACTCGAAAATGTTTGCATTACTTTCAAAAGTACAACCCACAAAGTTTGTCGTTTATGGAGCGTGTAACTCTTTGCCGCAAATGCGGCAAATGGGTATGTAATTCTATTTCTATCCGCTGCTCTAAACTTTCAAATATATCTACTAACGAAGTGCTATGTAAATAGACTAAAGAAACACTGTCATAAAGCCAACTGCTCTCTAGCATCAGTGTCCGTAATTACGAGAATTAAAAAAAAATTGTCTTACTTATTTCATTGTGGGACTGAAATATACCAGCACCATATACTTTAAAAAATTAAACGAAATAACTTTTAAAGTTCATTTTCAATGTTTCTCTTTTTTGTATTTTTTTATATTTGAGAAAAGTACTGTATATGCCTCGACGGGAATGGGGATTGCCTGACTCGTATAATAAATGCAACACCACAGTGATCTCGTCAACTTCTCGGCCTCTGCAATAGCCAATAATGTACTATTTCGACAAATATCAAAGTAACCTTCCTATCTTGTCACTTTGAGCAGGTAAAGTTATAACAAAAGAGCTAATTTTCTCTAATTCGGTTTTGACACTCCCACTCAAACTCAACAGTGCAGTATTACCACATATTTTTTACCGAAAACCTCTGACTGGAAACCGTAATGCGTCCATTTATTTTTTTCCCTTAAACCCAACGAAATGGTCCAAATTAGTTACGGAACGATGCCATACAAAAATGCTTCGTTCAAACAGTACCGACTAACTAGGAGAGTGCGCTTTTGAACTAGAATTATGACCGGAAAAAGTAATAGAATGGTTAGTATGTTGCTTTTGTTTATTAGTCTTTTTTTTTGGGAACATATGGTAAACGTATCTTGATTTAATAATGGAAGTTTACGATGTAAATTAGTTGGTTCGCAGTTATTGTTAATTAGGTTTACATATTTGTTTGTTTATTTTTCAGGGATAACAAACAATTTACACGGTGTTTACATTCAGTATTGATCAGTTTTAGCATAAGTACATGTACAATCAACAATATTATCCCCAAATTACTATTAAAATTAAAATTATAACTAAAAGAATTAAAAATTAAACTAAAAAGTTAGGGGTCAATAAAAGCTTTTTCAATTTAGAAGCTGGTAAATAAAATAATTATGTCAGTAATACTAAACAAATTATTTTACTGAGAAAGAATACGACGTAGAGGAACTCGCTTGCCAGCATTTGTTCGGCAGCGCGGCCTTTTAAACAACGTCGTTGTACCGCACCCAGCCAGAGTAAATCTGACCCGGGCAAGCCGGATATACCAGAGGGCACAGTTTAAGGGAGTGACAATCCCGGGATTGTGAAGGGGAAAACCAACCAGCCGCAGCCGGTGGCCAGATTCCTGCTGTTATAAGGGTAGTTAGTTATTTGGGCAGATAGGTAGTGTTATGAGGTTTTACTTGGGTGAATTTGTGTTCTCATCCATAGAACTTCAGATTCGGTGTGGTTTCCGGGATTCTGCATGTTAATTCACCTGCTTGCCTAAAATCTTTGTCTTTCGTTGGTTCTATCCAATAGTCTTTCGATGAACGGTCATGGGTTACATTGTATTTATTATTTTGCACAAGATCTGGCCAGTAGATCCAATAGTGACAAAGGTTATGGAGTGTTACAGTTGAAGAAGCATTCATCGATTATGAAGTATTAGCTTTCGAAATTTACTACATTGTAATTTCTATTCCGTTATCTTTGACAACAATTAGTACACATTACAATAACACATAGTTATAATTTTAACGAAACTCGTGAAACGCTTGACAGCGAATCAGACGAGAAAACTACGTGGGTGCCTTGAATCAAAAGTTACTTTTTTGTTAATTATAAAATACATGCTTGACCTGTCTCACCTAAAGAGCAGTAGAGTTCCTTGCAAAATAGTTTGTCCTGGGAAGTACTACCTCATCTTACCTAATTCTTAGCAATAATTGGGCATAGCTGTGCCGGTTTTCAAGGGTAATAAGGGTGCTGGTGAAATTACAGGCACTTGGGGCTGGACAAATGATTTATTTATTTATTTACATTGCAAACTTACTAGTAAATAGCGAGCACGCTTACAAGTCATAAACAGATAATTATAAACTTAGAATAATAACGCATAGAAACCTAGCCCGCACATGCTAAGTGAGGCAAACTGAGGCGCTCCCAAAGGGCCTACAGGAGCGGGCGGGCCTTCAGTGCTCAAGGTCAACTTGTACCGCGAACAGCTCCAGAATTTTAGCTAAAAATTACGGTAAATGAGTGTAAAAATTCGTCAGACAAACATAAAATAGATACTAACATCACATTCCACAAGGAAGTGACGCGTTTCAACTTGTATTTTTATATAAATATTCACTAAAACCGAAAATTAACTTACTACTAAAACTAGCCTACATGAATTTGATTTTTGCCTCACTTGTGACAGTTCGTTTGATATGAAACTATCATTCTATGCGTTATTATTCTAAAATCATAAATATATTTAATTAAGATATTACTATGACTATTTTAATTCTAAAAATTTACAAGTCTACGTACATATACAAAGTGTCCCACGGCTATGCCACAAGGATGGAAAGTACCTTAAATAGCGTAAATAGAAAATTTTACAGAACGAAGACTTCATTTTGATTTTAAAAACAATTCGTACTGCATTCAAAGATTTTGAAATAATCACCTGTCATCACCAAAGGCCTCAATCATAAGGATTGTTTTCTTCTAAATAGCATGGCATCTCAAATGTAAGGAAGACCATGAAGTTTAATATTTAATTTAAAATTTGGTTCAGGAAAATGATAGCTGAGTTTGCCGCGCTCATACCAACTGACTTTATCATTTTGATTGAGTCTTTCGATAAGTATAGAAAATTACAGCTGTTTTTTTTTTTCACATTTGGCGGGTTCGATTCCCGGTTTAGACAGGCTATTATTTAAAATCTATGAAAGCAATTCGAATTGTTTTTAAAATTGAAATGACGTCATATTTCAGTAAAATTTTCTATTGAGGCGGTATTTAAGATATTTTTCCCTACGAGTGGCATAGCCGTGGGACACCTTGTATATGTAGGGAGATTTGTGAATTTTTAGAATTAGAATAGTCATAGTAATATCTTAATTAAATATACTTTTAATACAGTTGCTCAAAACGTGGTATTTTTCGCACTACAAATCGTGCGGAAAGTTGGATTTCTCGCACTAGTGCTTTTTACTTTTCCAGTTTTTTTTTAATTTACTGTTGTTTTAAGTCTTAAACATAGAACTAAAGAGATTGTATATTTATTTCATATTTATGTGCTTTGTGACGTAAGTCATTCGTCATTACTATACTATATCTATGGAGAGACCGCATTTTTACACCTATGAAG